AAGTTAATTAATTGACAACAATGTAAGAAAAATCTTTACTTGATTTAAATTTAACAAAGTATTCATTTTCATTTTCTTTCTTTTTAAACAAATTTCCTAAATCTTAAGAAAAAGTTAGTTTTAAGCATATATAACACCATCAGAAATTTAAAATTCAAATGATTTAGCGAAAAGTATTAAGATTTAAAGAAGTGAACACTTCACTTTACCATAACGGAAATGACGGCATTTGAAAGGAGCAGAAAATAGTCGCAGTAATCATTTTTGAGGACACACCGCACGATACAATTCTCATTTGTATTCAACTGAAAAGTCATTAATTTCAAGTTTCTTTTTCAACTCTTTTATTAAGGAAAAATTTAGAATATTTAAATATGCTAGTATTTGCAACCGCATGCAATAATAACATGCATGCAATAATAGCATGCATGCAAGCATGTCAACAGGCACAAGTACATCCATGTTTACCGATTCCTAATGTAAATGACTTTCATTTACGTGGGAAAAGTAGTCTAAATCCATTTAGTAAATGACATTAATCCATGTGAAAGTAAGTAATATACTGAAAGTAAATAATATATGCTTATTTAACTCAAACATTTATCCCATATTTCTGATATATTCTGGTAGGCCTTTAAAAACTCTATGCTTCCTTTATTCATCCGTCCAATCAAATGAAAATTTTTGACGTAAAACATTTATAAATAACTTACTTCAACTTCTTCGATGACATCATCGATGTATTGAAATGGCTTTGACGGATTATAAGACGACAAGACTTCGATCAATTTTTGACGATATTCATTCATTACTCCAGCTGTTTTAAAGAAATGTTTCTTAATTTTGCAAATATTTAATTTGCTTTAAAATGATTGAATGAAACAACAAGCTGAAAGCCTATAAATAGAAATTCTTAGTTTACCAGTTCCTGAATTATCGTAAAGACATGAACATTTCTAAAATACCGAGAGGAAAGTATATAAATGATTTAGTAGTAATAATAATTTAACGTATTTCAGTAATTTTTTAGTCTTATGAAAATTTATTATACACTTACTCGTTGAAAAATTACAAACATTTGTTTTATCAATTTGTGCACCCAATTTGTAATCGATATGTAATTCCAATATAGCTCGAAGATACCATGCTTCCTGAATTTGCTTATTTAATTACTTTTCATAGTAGATACTTGTAGAGAACAGAAATGGAAATCAAAATTTGAAATATAATTCATCAGCAAACCAAAAAAAGAAAGAGATCGATACGATATAACAGGACACTCTGCTTCTTTGCTCATATTTCTATTTTTTTTCTTGTAACTTTTAAATTAAAAATTAAGAA